TTGAGATTTGATAGCTCCAGCATTTCGCTCGCTTTGCTAACAGCCGATGGACGTTACGTATTAGTGAGTGATATTCGCAAAAAAGTAACGATCGTTTGGGTGGCTTCCTGAGGATTTTACAATTTACACGGCAGAAAACTGGAAAACAGAAGCACCAGGTTTAGCTTTCACCAGCAAAACCAGAATTTCAGACCAATCGTCCGGGAATTCTCATCGATTTTAGAAACTCCAGTTTAAAATTGAATTCTTCGAAATTGAAAAAATTGAGTTTTTAAAATTGAATCCGTTTTAAAACTGAATTTTTTAGTTAACAAGACTTCTCAAAATTTGAAGTTTTTATCAATCAAAAATTCGATTGTTGATTAAATCTCAAATTTTTGCCAAAAAATACCGTGTCGACTTGTTCGAGTACCGAAGTTGGTGTGACGAAGAGACCAGCACCAACGATATTGCCAATAATATAGCTTATGGCACCCAACAGGCCCATTTTGTTCGATTTAACTTGACCGCCTGATGCATTGGTATCATGTTTAGCATCACCACCCATATCGCTGATATTCTGATGTGGACGAGCTCAACTCTGCAATAGAGGTGTAAAAATCTTAAAAAAAATACTTATATTATTGATACGGAATACGAAGGTTTCGACAGATCCACTGAGGAGTATATTTTGTACTCCCAGCAACTATACGGGCGAAAAAAGGAGCTGGGATATGCTCATGGACTGAAACTGGAGGGATTTTGGCTTTTTTCTAAGAGAAATTGGGTGTATTTTCATACTTTCATTAATTATATGATTCTTGCAAAGATCACTTTGGCAACCTCTAAAGAAGTGGTACACATATGCCGAGCAGGCAGTAGCTATCAACTGGAGGTATGCAGCTCAAGATCGAAGGAGCTGACACAGCGGTGCTCGGCATGAGAGAGTATTTTAATAATATCATTAACATGGGATACTCGCACTGACTGTTCTTATGTCTTGCTCTTAAATTATTAAATATGTATTTATCATGTTGCTAGACGTTTACAGCTAGTTGATGATGCCCGATACATATGGCAAGAATATCCCAAAAGGCTAAAGCTTAATCAAATGCTTTTGTCGCGAGTATCGCTGAATTGGTGATTCCTCCAAAAAAATGGGTAGAAAAGTA